TGATTAGCATTAGGGAAAAAAACTTAAAAGTAGTGAAGGAAAAACAGTGGAATGCAATAAAATCTCATGGACCAAGTAAGATAAGCCGGGCATTTACTAAAAGCGTGACGGTTACACTCAACACTCTACTTCCGTTAATGTTCCCACTATCTTCCCAGCAACAAAACATGAAGATGGTAACAGATTCTAACGAAAGAAAAATAATGTGAATGAGAAAAAAATACCAGATTCCTAGTGTGAAACTTGGATAAACGAACATAAAATGAAGTAAGAACCCTATTCCGATCCTCCTCCTGTTCGTGGCTGGGATCTGAAGCCAAAACAATAGTAAACCAGATCTCTGAACCGGAGCTCCTATTCCAGTAACACTAATAAACGGCGAGCTCAAGAAGGAAAGAGCCAAAAATGAAGCCCTATATTGAAGGAAATGGGTCGTCGGATCAAAGTTCCGGGTCGGAAATATGTTAGATTAAGGAAATGGACGACGGCTAGAAAAAGAAGGGATAGAATACTCAATATATAGAGGCTGCGGTTATAATCACACGTCACTAAAGGGAAGAGGATGTTCTCGGTTTTAAGTCCACGTGGCATCGTTACTACAAGGCACGGACTAAAGTGACGGCTCCTTGTCTCATATATATATATATATATATATTTCGGTAAATTACATGTTTAGTATTGTAACAACACTTTTATTCTATTTTGATTATTCAATTATCAAATATTTAATAAAAAAAATGTGTAACTTTTAAGGTTTGATTTGATGAAATTAATCTTTATTTATATCAGTAAACGAGTGGATGAGAATACATGGCATTCACAAAAATAAATTGAATGTGAAATTCTTTTAAAATAATTACAATAATCATGTTTTGTAAAATATATTAAATTTTAAAGAGTATCTATTTATATTTAATATAAAAAAGCTGTGTCAAATGAATATAAAAAAATAAATGGAAAAGTAGAAAATTTTGAATTTTGATATTAAAATATGAAATATTATTTTGTGTAATTTGAATACATTTGTGCACATTAAGCAAGATCTCGCATGTAATGGAAAACAGGCATTCATTGCTTGGCAGCAGTTGAAGGATCCTTTTTCTTGTTCTTCCAGAACTCAGCTTTCTTGGTCTTCCTTTTGGCTTTCACCATCCCAATTTTACTGTTAATTATACCCATTATGGCACTCTTGTTCCTCTTGTTCTGTTTTGCAACTTTCACATCCAATATCGATCTCAGCTTTTCATACGACTTCACATCCGGAACTTGCCCCCCCTTTTCACCATCTGCTTGTGATAATAGAATGCCCTCTTGAAATCCCGAACACGAACAAACGCGTAGATCATTGTCGAATACGTGGCGGAATCCGGTTTTAAATCAAGAACCTCCATTTCTTTCAACAACTGCGGCAATTTGTGGTGTTGGCCTCCCCTTGCATACGCATTCATCAGCATGTTATATGTCATCTGTGTTGGTTGGAAGCCCATCTTCCCGAACTCGGAAATAACATCCCTTGCTTCCACATATTGACCTAGTTTGGCGAATCCGTCAAGAAGAATGTTGAAGGTAACCCGAGTGCCTTCTATTTTTTTCTTTGATCATCAGCTTCCATACTCAACTGTCGCCCGCACGCCTGAATGCATCCAATAGAGCAGTGTAGGTTTCAATGGAAGGTTTAATTCATTCTCTCTGCATATCCTCGAATACGGTAGAGGAGCTGAGGGACATGACTTGAAGAATCTGATAATCGGGTCTTTTATATGCTTTTTTTCTTCGTTAATTTCAAGTTTGAGTTCTTGTTCTTCAGGTTCCTAAAGAAAAGGGAGGAAAATAGGGAATGAAGAGTGAGATGTACAAGGAGGGGGAGGAGGCGTTGCAAAGATGGTGAAGGAAGGAGGAAAGGATTTAGAGGTTGGTAGCATTAAAAAGAGTTTCCAACTATGATTAATAAGGAAGTGACGGTGACAAATGAAGCAGGGTGTAGAACACAAGCTTAACTGTCATCGCCAAGGTTGAATCGTTCTTTTTCTTTTTCTTTTCATGTTGATATTCCATATTTTGAGCTTATTGTCATGGAACGCCAGCCCAAGACTGAGCCCAGTTCATTCAAGGCTGCCAGAGACTACCTTTGCCACGTTTTGGACCTTCTAGAAGACCCAGCAGAGTTGGCCCATCCACCTTGGAGAGAGAAAAGACATGATAATTATTTGAAATTATCTTAGAGATAATTCCCACTAATTATTTATTAATTTAGAGTTATAGATAGAGTAGGGCTCTCATCCTGACTATTGATGTAATTTAATATTAACCGGTGATTGTAGGGGGCTCCAACTATAAACGGAGGCTCACCCACACCTCACGTACTCACTTCAGATTGAAGAATACAAGTTAGCATTCACTCCAAACTCTCTCTTCTCCATTTGTGCGCCAATCCCTCTATTTTCCCCCTTTTCCTTTATTTTTGCAACGTTCTAAGCATTCTTGCTTAGTGGAGGTTTGGGTTACTTAGCTGATTTTCGACCTTGAAAACGACTAAGGCCACACGAGCTTGCTAGCAGCAGTCTAGCCCCGTGACCAGTGGTATCAGAGCTTGTTTTTGCTGATTTTTTGTTGGTTCGAGATGGCACCACAACAAGGCGAGGCAACAGGTTCCGATGGGAATGAAGCCCGCAATGCTAGAAAGAAGAGAGCACCATCGAAAGATGTTCTCTTCCATCCAGGAGAAGGTTATCATGCTCGAGGGTTCCATGACAGAAGCCAAGAGAGTGATGGACATGTTGGAGTCCGTATACCTTGAAAGGCTGGGATCGTTGGATCTCAAGAAGCTGGAGTCCTTGGAGGATATCAGGGAGGAGGTTCATGATTCACTCAATGAGGTGGATGTGAAGGCAACTGGTCGAGGTAATTCCTTAGAAGCCATGGTGGTGGCTTTAAGGAAGGAAGTCGAGGAACTCAAGAGCAAGGGTTCCGATTCTGAGGTGGTCGAGCTGAAAAGGGAGGTTGAGTTGTTCAAGACAGGAACTGTTGGTGTGCAAAGCTGCGTTCGGGAATAGTGTAGCCACGGTTGCACCAAAAGCCTTGGGTGACATCCCTAAGCCAGAGAAGTTCAAAGGGACCAGGTCCGCCCAGGATGTTGAAAATTTTCTTTGGGGGTTGGACCACTACTTTGCAACCACAGACATCACGAAAGATGCCAAGAAAGTAAGCATCACCAGTGTTTACTTGTCAGAAGTTGCCCTCATGTGTGGCGACGCAGATACAACGTTTGTCGAATTAATGCTCCAAGTCCCGAATTTGAGTGAAGAGGATGGGTTCTTCACCTTCATGGCTGGTTTGAAACCATGGGCGAAGAACGAGCTAGGGGGACGAGGAGTTAAGGAGCTCTCGGTTGCCTTGACGACGGCCGAGTCAATTAGTGTGCTTGGCGTCAAGAAGGTGGACTCCAAACCAAAGCCGAAGTTCTGAGACGGTAGTGGTGATAGGGACAAGGCGTCCAAATCCGAAAAAGATTCGAGTGGCACTGACAAGCCATCGAATGGTAAGCACTCGGATAAGAAAGACAAGCATATTATCCAGTGTTACAACTGCAAGGGCCAAGGGGAATTTGGCGAGGGACTGTCCATAGAAGAATAAACTCTCGGCCATCAAGGAGAAAGATGGGGAAGAGAGTGAGACTCTTAAGCTTGGCTCCATCCTTAGCATAATGGAGGTCAATAAGGGTCGAAAGAAGAAGGGGTTGATGTTCGTTGACGTTAACGTTGCTGGCCAGAAATTGAGTGCACTAGTGGACACCGGTGCCTCAGAGTTGTTCATGTCAGAAAAAGTTGCCAAGAGACTTAGCCTTCATGTGGAGAAGGTAAGTGGTTCTATCAAGACCGTCAATGCCAAAGAAGTTTCGATTACGGGGTCGCAAAGGGAATTGAGTTAACCATTGGAGGTTGGTTCGGAAGGGAAGCCATCAAGGTGATTCCTCTTGACGACTTTGACTTCGTGCTTGGGTTAAGTTTCTTGGACCGGATCATTGCTTTCCCAGTACCTTTTGCCGGTTGTTTGTGCATTCTGGATCCAAAACAACAATGCATTGTTCAAGTGAGCCGAGGGCCCGGAGTAGGGGCCAAAGTTTTGTTCGCAATCCAGTTCTCAAAGCCGGTGCGCAAGGAGGAACCGACCTTCTTAGCTGTCTTGGTGTGTGATGAGCTAGCCACAACCAAGGAAGTCCCCGACGTGGTGAGTCACGTTTTGGCAGAATTCAAAGATGTGATGCCTGTCGAGTTGCCAAAGAAGTTACCTCCAAAGAGGGAGGTAGATCACAAAATTGAGCTTGCGCCGAATGCGGAGCCACCCGCTCGAGCCTCTTACCAAATGGCTCTGCTCGAGTTAGAGGATATGCGCACATAGTTGAAGGATCTCTTCGATGTCGGATACATCCGACCATCCAAGTCCCCCTATGGTGCTCTAGTGCTGTTTCAGAAGAAACACGATGGTTCTTTGCGGATGTGCATCGTTTACCGGGCTTTGAATAAGCTCACGATGAAGAACAAATACCTGATTCCTCTCATTACGAACTTGTTCAATCATCTTGGTGGTGCAAGGTGGTTCACCAAGTTGGATTTACGATCGGGCTATTACCAAGTCAGGATAGGCGAGGGAGATGAACCGAAGACAACTTATGTGACTAGGTACGGTTCGTATGAAGACCTTGTGATTCTCTTTGGCCTCACGAATGCTCCAACCACTTTTTTCACCCTGATGAACAAGGTGTTGCAACCCTTTCTGGATCGATTTGTTATAGTTTACCTCGACGAAATCATCATCTGCAGCAAGATGTTGGAGGAGCATGTTGAACACTTGAAGAAAGTGTTCATGGTGTTACGAGAGAATGAGCTCTTTGTCAAAGAAGATAAGTGTTCATTCGCCAAAACGGAGGTTTCTTTCCTTGGCCACATTGTTGGAGGTGGCAAGATCTGGTTAGATAGGGACAAGGTTTGAGCCATTGACGAATGACAGGTGCCAACCAAGGTGACGGAGCTGAGGTCATTCCTGGGGTTAACCAACTATTACCGGAGGTTTGTCAATGGTTACTCAAAGATCGCAACCCCCTTGACCGAGTTATTATAGGAAGACAAGGCGTGGGATTGGGGCCCAAAGTGTCAAAGTGCTTTTGACGAAATCAAGCTTGCTATGATAAGCGAGCCAGTTTTGGTGTTGCCAGATCACACCAAGCCCTTTAAAGTATTCACCGATGCATCCGACGTTGCCATTGGTGGGGTCCTGTGCAAGAGGGACATCCAGTTGCTTATAAAAGTCAGAAGCTCAATGAGACCGAGAGGAGATACACGGTCTATGAGAAAGAGATGACTGCGGTTGTGCATTATTTGCGCACCTGGCGACATTTCTTGCTTGGGTCCAAGTTCGTGGTGTTTACCGACAATGTTATCAACAGCTACTTCTTAACCCAGAAGAAGTTGTCACCAAAGTAGGCTCATTGGCAAGAGTTTCTTACCGAGTTCGATTTTTCCTTGGAACACAAACCAAGGAAGGTAAATTCTTTGGCCGATGCATTAAGCCGAAGGTATGACATGGAATTTGTGAGTTTACCGACAGGACAGATGCGGGAGCACATCAAGAAGGGGTTACTACATGATCCGATAGCCCCTTCATTGATTGAGCTTGCCAATAAGGGAAAGACTCGAAAGTTTTGGCTCGATGGAGGCTTGTTGTATGCTTGAGGACACCGCCTCTATGTGCCACAGTTTGAAGGATTACGAAAGGAGCTCATGAAGGAATGCCATGATTCCAAGTGGGCGGGACATCCGGGGATCCACCGGACTTTGGCCTTGATAGCATAACACTATTATTGGCCGTACATGGGCAATGATGTTGAGGCATATGTGAAGACATGTCTTGTGTGCCAACAAGATAAGATAGAGCAGTGGAAACCAGCTGGATTGTTGCAGCCTCTTCCTATCCACGAGAAACCATAGGAAAGTCTTTCCATGGATTTCATTGTCGGTTTGCCAGTTTTCGATGAATTTTCTAGCATCATGGTCGTGATTGATAGATTTTCCAAGTATGTGACCTTTATTCCAGCATCCAAAGTATGTCAAGCCGAGGAGGCCGCTTGTCTTTTTCTCAAGTACGTGGTGAAGTACTGAGGTGTTCCAAAGACGATTATCAGTGATCGAGACACAATGTTTACTAGGAGGTTCTGGAAGGAGTTGTTCAAGTTGATGGGATCAAGCTTGAACTTCTCGACGAGTGTTTATCCACAGATGTATGGGAAGACCAAGAGAGTGAATGCACTCGTAGAGATTTACTTGAGGCACTATGTGAGTGCCACGCAACGTGATTTGCTGAAATTGTTGTATATAGCCCAGTTTTCCTATAATTTGCAAAGGAGTGAAGCGACCAATCAGAGTCCATTTGAAATTGTTACCGGGCAGTAGCCACTCACACCAAACGTGGTTGTGACTGGGTACCAAGGACCGAATCTAACAGCATATCAATTTGCCAAGGAGTGGCAAGAACAACATGAACTCGCCCGAGCTTGCTTGCACAAGGCCAGGAAGTGGACCAAGAAGTGGGCGGATCAAAAGCATCAGGATGTGAACTTTGAGGTTGGTGACCTATTCCTTGCCAAATTAAGTGGTATATTGCACAACCTATATCACAAAGGGCTTGTGCGAAGATACGAGGGGCCATTCAAAGTTTTGAAGCGAGTAGGCACCATAGCCTACAAATTGGAGTTGCCTTCGACCATCAAAGCTCATCCTATGTTCCATGTGAGTTTGTTGAAGCTGTACTATCAGGATGAGGAGGAGCTAGATCGAGGCAAGTCACACCGAGCGCCAGTCGGGGTAAAGGTCTCTTATTAGAGAGAAGTAGAAGCTATCCACGCAGAGAGAGCTGTTCATGGAGTGGGAAAACGAACATGGCATGAATACCTTGTTTAGTGGAATGGACTTCCAAAGAGTGAGGGAAGTTGGGAACCTACCAAAGCCTTATGAAAATTCTGAGATAAGATAGACCAGTTCCACTCTAGCTGCGCAACGAGGGTGTCACTAGAACTAGTAGGGGAGAATATCACGGACCGCCAGCCCAAGACCGAGCCCAGTTCATTCAAGGCTGCCATAAACTACCTTTGCCACGTTTTGGGCCTTCTAAAAGACCCAGCAGAGCTGGCCTATCCAACTTGGAGAGAGAAAAGGCATGATAATTATTTGATATTATCTTAGAGATAATTCCTACTAATTATTCATTAATTTAGAGTTATATATAGAGTAGGGCTCTCATCCTGACCGTTAATGTAATTTAATCTTAACCGTTGATTGTAGGGGGCTCCAACTATAAAAGGAAGCTCACCCCCACCTCATTTACTCACTTCAGATTGAGGAATACAAGTTAGCATTCACTCTAAACTCTATCTTCTCCATTTATGAACCAATCCCTTTATTTTCCCCCTTTTCCTTTGTTTTTGCATCGTTCTAAGCATTCTTGCTTAGTGGAAATTTGGGTTACTTAGTTGATTTTCGACCTTGAAAATGACTAAGGTCGCATGAGCTTGCTAACAACAGTCTAGCCCCGTGACATTATCATATAAAACAGTGAGACTACTGGCTAGCGGGTAGAATAGAACTATTAAAAAATTGGTTAAAACTAGAAAGATGGCTACTCGAAGATGGGTTGAGAGTTGAGACTCGAGAATAATAATGGACATGTATATAAATGAGTTATAATTTGATCTAATTTTATAAAAGATAAAATATATAAATAGTCTTTTATTATTAAGGTATAAATATAAAATAAGTATACAACTTATAGGTGTTTAAATTATTTTTTGACTTGTTTTGGTGTCTAACGTTATAAACGTTCCATTTTAGGTGTCTCGATCGTAATAATTGTTAAATAAAAATCATTATCTAATCGTTATTCATTTATTTTCGGACATGTAACATTGATTATATTTTCTATTTCAGTTTTCTATAAAATTCGAATATATAAAAATAAAATAAATAAAATATTAAAATCAATATTTCAATCTTAATATTAAAATTATTATTTTAACCTAGAAAATAAAAACCTAAAAGTTACCATGATCCTTTTTTCCTCTGTTTAAACTCTCATCCTCCATAATTTTCTTCTGAAGTCTCTTCCTTCCTCGTTCTTCTTAGATTTCCCTTTTCCTTATCATCATACTTTGTTCTTCCCAAAACTAGGGTTTTAGCATCGTACGGACTCTTTATCTTAAAAACTGTGAATTATGTCGAGTGAATCTTCAAAATCGTATCATAAAGGGTCGAGTATTGTTATTATGGAATGAGGGCTCCGATTTGCAGTTCAAATGTGCCTCGAAGCAAAGGAAGGAGATTTTATGGGTGTTCACAAATGTAAGAGTTATTTTTTAATCTGCTAAATTAATGCGTAAGAGTATAGAACCAAAAAAATTGTTGAACTATATTTTGATATAATAATTAAGGCAAAATATTTTTGTACGTAAATAAGATTTATTCAAAGTTTTTCAAAGTTTTCAAAAATAATTCAAAGTCTATTTATAAGTGGAATTGAGCACAAAACATTTTTCTGGACAAGTAGTACCGATACTATTCTTATAGTATCGATATCTCATGAACAGTACTGATATTGTTCATATGGTACCGATACCAAAGGTAAGGGAAATATCGATACTCACTAGGTAGTAGAACATTGCTTAAATTCCAGAATGCAAAAATGGTACCGATACCCAAATGGGTACCGATACTACTATGTAATACCAATACTACTCTATATAGTAGTATCGATACCATGAGCATAGTATCAATACCATCAGGCCCCAATGGCTAGTTTAGGAGTACCGATGCCCTCTGTTCTGGACAGCTTTATTTTGCACAAAATTTGATCCCCAACGTATCCAAATCACTCCCAACGGCTAGAAATAGTCACTACAACTTTCCAACATATAAATACAAGTTGAGGACACTTGAAGAAGGGTTAGAAACACCTATCCAAGTAATCAAACACAAGAGAAGAGTTTTTCATTCTTATTTTCACTTATCTTGTAAATATTGTGTTTGTGTGAGCTAAATTCTTGTAAACACCTACCTTTGAGAGGTTTATTTGTTTACTTCTTTTTATCTTTTTGTAAAGGGGTCTTGGTTCTATCTTAGCCAATTCAAAATATAGGGAGTTGTAAAGGTTACTCTTGATCCTTGAAAAATAAAGAACAAATTAGTGGATTTGTTAGAAAATCCTAAGTGGGGAGCTTAAGTAGTGGTTGTAGACTTGGTTGAGAAGTCGAACCACTATAAATCTTTGTGTTCATTATCTTATCTTTTACTCTCCTTACTCCCTAAATATATTTTTATCAATTCACCCCCTTTGTAACTCTTTTCGGTTGTTTAATTTGAACCTCTTGAAATCCTAACAATTGGTATCAGAGTAGCTCATTAGAAGATTTAACCACCTTGAGACGATCCTCGAAGACGCTCTACCGATTCCCGACACAACCGATAAAAAAATGACTTCAACCTTCGGTGCCTACTACATTAAAGATTCACAACCGGTCAACAAGCCACCCTACTTCAATGGAGCAAATTATGCCTATTGGAAGAATAGGATGATGCTCTTCATTCAAGCCAATGATCTAGGAGCTTGGAACTCTATCATGAAATTCTACACCATTCTAACCGACGAGATGGACTATTGGAGTGATGGAGAGAAGAAGAAGTTCTAACTCAATGCTAAGGCTTTGCACATTCTCTTTTATGCATTAGGCCCGGATGAATATGGAAGAGTCTCCTCTTGTTCCAATGCCAATGAGATATGGGATAAGATCCAAGTCACTCATGAAGGAACCGATGAAGTGAGTGAAACCAAGATTAGTCTTCTCAACCATAGCTACAAAAATTTAAAGATGAAACCCGATGGAGACATCAAAGCTATTATGGATAGATTTTTCATGATTGTCAATGGTCTCAAGGGATTTGGAGAAGTAATCTCCAATGAGAACCTTATGAGGAAGATGATCTACTATCTTCCAAAGTCTTGGCAATCGAAGAATACGACGATTATCTAGAGACCTAAAGTCTCTCACTCTCGACGAGTTGATTGGTTCTCTTCTTATTCATAAGTTGATGGTAAAAGAAGAGGAAGAAGATGAAGAGAAGCAAAACAAGAAGAAGAAGGAGGTAGGCATTGCCTTCAAGTCCACTAATGAGAGCTATCAAGATTTATAACACACATCTCCCGTATACTTTTCCGTATACAAGATACAGATGTCACATCACTTTTTAAATATTTCCTCAATTGAAAACCTATAAAAAAGTTTGTTTCCAAATTTCTTAAAACACAACATTTGTTTTATATATCGCAAAACATTAATTATAATATGTTATGAGGTTCTACTTAAGTACAATTCAGAGTATTTTTCATAATTTAATTACATGCCAATTAAGTTTTTCAAAATAAACTGGATTGTCCTATTGTTATTGACGAGTTAACCTTGATTGATGATAGCTGTTGCTGCTGCTACTGCACTCCCTACTCGTCTATTCTCTGGCTACACGTAAAATCAACACACGTTAAATATTTACTTAGTGAGACATAATATTGTAAAGAAACATTAATGTAAACATAAGTATATCATAACTATTTGGTTACGAAACAATTCGTATCATCCATAAGGTTTATATAAGCCCCTATTATCTAAACCATATTTCTTTCATACTATCATCATCAACATTCTAAGTATGTCTAGCATACCTTTCTTTACTTACATTTTTCCCATTATTCTTTAGTAATTATTCATTATTTTCATTTATAGCATCCTTTCATGCCTCTAATGCACCGTTATGCATTTTATTTATGACATCATTTCATGTCTTTAATGCACCGTTATGCATTTTATTTATGGCATCCTTCCATGCCTTTAATGCACCGTTATGCATTTTATTTATGACATCCTTTAATGCCTTTAATGCACCGTTATGCATTTTAGTTATGACATCCTTTCATGCCTTTAATGCACTGTTATGCATTTTATTTATGACATCCTTTCATGCCTTTAATGCACCGTTATGCATTTTATTTATGGCATTCTTTCATGCCTTCGATGCACCGTTATGCATTTTATTTATGGCATCCTTTAATGCCTTTAATGCACCGTTATGTATTTTATTTATGGCATCCTTTCATGCCTTTAATGCACCGTTATGCATTTTATTTATGGCATCCTTTCATGCCTTAAACATACATTAAATTGAAACCTTATTATTGAACTCATTTCAATACCATAAACATACATTAAATTGAAACCTTATTATTGAACTCATTTCAAAACTTATTCCTCTCAAATAACACAATAAATATACTCACCTTGTCTACCTTGCTATTATATCCAATATGCAAATCCAACTACTCAACAACTTATTCGTTGTCTTTCGGTTTGCTTGACTCGGGAGCTTGATTACGATCTACACAAGCACCCATTTAGTACACATTCCATACAAATGTTAGTATATTCTCTAACATTTATACTTTAATAATACTCAAAAGTACTATTATTTTCAATTTCTATAACAATTTCAGGCTATCTTCAAATTCTTGGCTCAATAGTATCGGTACCCATACCAGTGTATCGATACTTCTATAATATGGTACCGATACCCCTTTTAGTATCGGTACCGTTTTAGAATTCTGAAATCCATGGTATCGATACTTTTTTTGTAGTATCGATACCCCATCAGTATCGATACTCATTGCACCAGTATCGATACTGTTCATCACATTTTTACCCATTTAAACCTATAGTATCGGTACTGCTCTATCAGTATCGGTACCCTTACCCAGATTTTCCATTTTCAGTTCAATTTTTACCCAA